CTCTCTCTCTCTCTCTCTCTCTCTCTCTCTCTCATCGATAAAAATGCAATTTTATGATTAATTTTAGTATTATTTCCCATTTTTTGTATTTCTCTCCCCTTTATTTCCTTTCATGAATTGAGTTGTTTTTTTCAATTTCATTACGAAATTAGATTTTTCTTTTACTTTTTTATTCACAACAGAACTTGATTTCTAGTTTTCAAATTAATATTTAATGCAATTTATTTTATTTATTAAGCCTTTTCTCTCTCTTTACTCTCCAAAATAGTGGGCACACTATATGTGAAAGCGTTTGATGTGATCGACGGCATCGACGAGACGGCGATTATAGACACGGATGAGGAATGGGATCACAATATAAATAGAGATAAATTTCAAATTATTGATCAAAACTCAACACAACTTAACGAATCTCATGTCACCATAGCTTACGAACAGGTATTTTACACAACAAATTCTGGTGTATATTCCGGAAGTGAAACTTTGAAATTCAAACATTAATTTGTACTTTTAATTTGTAAAACAACAAAAATAATAATACATTTCGATTTAAAGTTTTTGTTAAATTAATTAATTTGAATTATTGTGAGAATATTTAAATTTGACAAAAATCTAAAAATGAATACAAAACTAAAGCTTTTATTATAATTTGGGTTTAAAATTAAAATTTTGTGATAAGAATTTAATTAATTTACTTCTGGTCCGAAAAAGCAATAAAAACAATACAAACAAACTGTTAGATTCCTATCGGAAAAGTGTAGTCTCTTTAATACAAACCGATTAACTAATGATAAACAATGTGTTTGATTGACACGAATCTGAAATTTTTGTCTATTATTAAGCGATAAAATGCATTAATTAAGTGCCAGACATACATGTCATGCAAAGGTAAAATCACCATTTGTTTCAACACTACATACAGTATAGAAAGGCTTTCGCTAACACATAGAAAATTGATTTTATTGTTAATTAATGTTTAATTAATTTTAATACAAAACGTGATAATTTATAAAGTGAGGGAAAGTTGTTTTCACTGAATGACAAACAAATAGAGTTGTGTCCAAAAGTAACAGTAATTTTTTCATCCTTCAGTGAAAAACATAGATTATATTGCAAAACAAATCTGAGATAAAATTAAGACAATTGTATTTATCATTAATTTTGTTTCGTGTTTTCAATACGGATAGAGACGTACACCAGAAGGGGACGCATATGTGGAGCGGATGGCCAACGATTGGATAACCAATGGCTCTAATCTACAGCCCAGTGACTACAAGAAGCTGAACCGATACCTAATGCCGCCAAACAATGTCAGTATTGTCGGCGACCAGACTATTGTCATGACCGACGACGAGACCATCAGCTCAGAGACCCCTCTAATGAATGGCATTTATTTCACATCATTTACATCTAATGTACGGAATATTCTTTACGAAAAATATAGACACGAATTAATTGATGGCAAAGTTTAATACATTGAAACAATTTGTCTGTTTTTTGTCGCCCAATAGACCCATAATAACGGGAGGACAACACTGCAACACAAAACCCAGAGTACACCCCTGTCTACACCGTTGAGTACACCGGTCTGATAGATGTGGTGGACATCGCATACCATTGTCTGGGATGTGATGCACACTGTCTTCCAATAGAAACGAAGAAAAAAATTAAATTTAAATAGAAAGTGAAAAATATATACGAATTTTCGTCGAAAACTCATTTTTCTCTTCGTTTGTGTTTCCCATTGACTATAAAAATACACGATTTGTGCCAAAAGAAAATCATCGGAAAAATATTCTTCAAAAAACAATAACGAAAATACAATCGAAACAATTCTTGCGTTGATTTTTCACATCTTTTACATTATTTTGTTGTTGTTTTTGGTGTAAATATTTTGAAGAAAAATCGCCCAAATCATCGAAATCTGACACTTTTTTTGTGGTTATTATTCAAATCATTTTTATCTCAAGAATCGTTTTGTTTGAAAATGATTTTTCCCCATCAACAAAACAACCATCATTTTTATTACACATATAATTATACATTATATAAAGCATATAAAAAATCAAACATTCCTTGCGTTTAGTGTTTAGAGTTTTTAAGATTGCATTATATTATCGATTCAATCATTCATTAAATTTTTATAAAAACCATTGGTTTTCTTATATGTAATCCTATTTTATTGTTTAATGAGTTTTTCTCTCAATTTTTATTTGTATTATTTTGTTTTGATTGAAAATCAGATGAACACTCGATCTATCTATTGGTTATGCAATAAAAGTTTTAAAGTTTTTTATATATTTTGAAACAAAATACAAAAAACGATTGAAATATAATAGTTATGTAAAAATTCAACAGAAGTAACATTGTATTACATAAAATCTCTTTCTATTGGTTATGCAATAAAAGTTTTAAAGTTTTTTATATATTTTGAAACAAAATACAAAAAACGATTGAAATATAATAGTTATGTAAAAATTCAACAGAAGTAACATTGTATTACATAAAATCTCTGAATAAAAAGCAATACTTATTACTATCTATTATATAATACACATGTATATGAATACAGAATTACTGTATATAAGAGAATTGTAATGCAATACAAAATTATATAATGTATAAAAAAGATTTTCTAATTGATTATACTATAGATATATTGACTAAAATAAATTGAAAATTATTATTATATTTATTAAATGTGTACAAAATTATTAATATTTAAAACAAAAAATTAATATAATCAAGCATAATACAATAAACTAGAACTTATAGTAAATGTTTTTATATGTGTTTGTGTTGAATTAGAAATTGGTTTAACAATTGAGTGAACAATCAATGCTCTCAACAATTATTGTCTCGTTTTAATTATTGACCAAAAACTGAATTATTTTAAATTTCAATTCTATTGGTTATGCAATAAAAGTTTTAAAGTTTTTTATATATTTTGAAACAAAATACAAAAAACGATTGAAATATAATAGTTATGTAAAAATTCAACAGAAGTAACATTGTATTACATAAAATCTCTCTGAATAAAAAGCAATACTTATTACTATCTATTATATAATACATATGTATATGAATACAGAATTACTGTATATAAGAGAATTGTAATGCAATACAAAATTATATAATGTATAAAAAAGATTTTTTAATTGATTATACTATAGATATATTGACTAAAATAAATTGCAAATTATTATTATATTTATTAAATGTGTACAAAATTATTTATATTTAAAACGAAAAATTAATATAATCAAGCATAATACAATAAACTAGAACTTATAGTAAATGTTTTTATATGTGTTTGTGTTGAATTAGAAATTGGTTTAACAATTGAGTGAACAATCAATGCTCTCAACAATTATTGTCTCGTTTTAATTATTGACCAAAAACTGAATTATTTTAAATTTCAAATCCAATTCATAACGAGTTTTAAATTAGTATTAATTCTCATTTTAGTCTTGATATCTAATCTGTTTTCTACTTTAGGATTAATTTTTTGGATTGTTTTTAATTTATTTTTACTGATTTAAACACAAGTCATAAACAATGACTATTTCTAAACCCAGTCATCAACCTATTCATCAACCAATACCTCCACCCATACCTCCACCCATAGCTCCATTCATTCCTCCACATATTCCTGCAACCATTCCTCCCAACCGTTTAGAGGAATTGGATTTAAATGATTTGAGCGTTGAATTAAAAGACGTTAAATTCACTTACGATAAGTCGAAGGGATTGCTATTGAATAACATTAACATGTCTTTCCCCAGAAGTGCTATGTATTGAAAAAGTGGTGAAACTTTCATTACATTTACTAATTGTTATTTTCAATCATTAGTTACGGACTTCTGGGTCCGAGTGGTTGCGGAAAGACAACACTAATCAAACTGATTGTCGGCCGACTCTCGCCGTCGAGCGGAACCGTTCGCCTCAACGGTCGGCCGCAGAGCGACCCAAACAACAGAATACCCGGCGTTGGAGTCGGATATATGCCTCAGGTTTGCAGTCATTTGATTACTATTCAAACCAATCATTTAAATGAGAGTTTGTTTTTAGGAAATATGTCTTAACGGAGACTTCACTATATATGAGACGTTAAACTATTTCTCAAAAATCTATGGATTGCCAGAGGATTACAAGAAACAGAGAATCGATTTTGTGATCAAATTCCTCGATCTTCCGGACCGGAACCGATTGGTTGGAGTTCTTAGGTATCAATTAATGCCATTTTTTCACACAATCATAATTAAACTAATCTCTAATTGCCTGTTAAGTGGCGATCAAAAGATTATGGCTTCGTTGGCGGTGGCCATCATTCATAAGCCTCCGCTTCTCATACTCGATGAGCCAACTGTTGGCGTCGATCCAGTGCTCAGAGAGAGGTAACCAAACAATTGTATTCATTAGCCATTAAAATACTAATCATTTATTTCTTAAAAACACTAGAATTTGGGAACATTTGCTGAATCTGTCGAAAGAGGAGAAGACATCAATTATGATAACCACTCATTACATCGAAGAGTGTCGTCGCGCGCACGCAATCGCACTCATGAGGAACAGTAAGATTCTGGTGGAGAACTCGCCGCACATCCTATTGACAGACATCGGGACCGACAACTTGGAGGACGTCTATCTCTTAGTCTGTATGGCCGACGGCCAGACACAAGTCGGCGTTGCGTTGCCGCCAACGATAACCAGCATGAGATCCAACGCATCCAATGGCCAACACTTACAGACCTTAATCAGTGGTCAGACAAACACAGTCTCGCACTCGACTAAAACTGTTCAGAGATTCGGCGCTTTGATTGAGAAAAACTTCATTAATCTTTATCGACAGAAAATGTATTATAAAAAGCAATGATTTTATAATTATTGTGTGTTTTAATTGTTAATAACTGTATTTATAGGCAATTCTTAATACAGATAGTGATGCCAATGATAGGCATCGCATTGTTTTGCGCCTGTATTGGCGTTTTAGGTGGCCTTCAAGACAATAGTCCCGTCGCAAAGAAATTGAGCAAAATATTTCTAAATCGTATTAATACCAAAACTATACTTTTTTTGATCACGTGTTATCTGTTGGCCATCGGATTGACGGCTCTGTCGACTATCACCGAACGCAGAGAAGGACTTCTGGAGCGATCACTTGTGGCCGGCGTTCATATGTACGAGATATTGATGTCACACGTCTTCGTCCAGATTATTATTCTCGTCTTTCAGACCAGTTTTGTGATGATAACAGTGTTTATGTTCTTCAAAATCGACTGCAAAGGCAGTTATCTTCTGGTGTTTCTCTTATCCATACTTCAGGGCATATGNCGTTATCGTCCAGATTATTATTCTCGTCTTTCAGACCAGTTTTGTGATGATAACAGTGTTTATGTTCTTCAAAATCGACTGCAAAGGCAGTTATCTTCTGGTGTTTCTCTTATCCATACTTCAGGGCATATGTGGGATGTGTTTCGGTATTAAACAACTCTTTAAATGTTCATAATATTGTGAATAATGTGTTTCCCATTGAATGTCAGGTCTATTAATGTCAGCCATAGCCGAGAACACGAGGACAGCGCTCATCATAATAGTGGGCTCTTTGATGCCATATCTCATTATTTCGGGTATTGTTTGGCCGCTCAGAGGTATGGATTCGTGAGTGAAATTGTTGGCCACTCCTATGCCGCAGACATTACCGGTGATTGCCTTAAGGAATGTCATATTCAAGGGATGGGGTCTTAATTTGTATGGTTAACAATGTTAACTTAACATATTTTACCAATTTTCTAATTAAATTTAATTATAATAAAAAGTAAATAAAAACATTTATTTTGAATTTATTATACAATCATTTATTTCACAAAATAGTGTATTTCTATTATAAAATTTAAAAATCCGTTAAATAAAATTACAACAATAAAATTTTAATTAAATTTTCGTTCAGTTAGTATAGGATTTATTTACAGACATGTATTGTTCGCCAATAAAATTATATGCAATAGTATTGCACCAAAAGCTGCCGTAAAGTCGGTCTCCAAAACCAATCGATTCTTCAGAGCCATAGGAATGAGCCGTACGTTAAGTGGCTTTCAAATGGTTAAGAGAGATCTGATTGGGACGGACGGCACCAGACCTACAGCGCCGGGCAATAAAGGCCGGGGCAGAGGAGGAGGTGGGGGTCGACTGGTTGTGGCCGGCATTGTGTTGGGAGGGCTCGCCTTCTGCGCCAATAAATACTTTTGCGGACACAAGAAATCACGTGTAAGTGAAGGGAAGGACGAGAGCGAGAAGACGGC